GAAATTCGAGAAAAGATTTTAAATTCTCTCATTTGAAAGTTTGAAAAACAGATTTTACCTTTTTTTTAAGTAATTATTTATCTTGTTATTTATTTGATATTATTTTTATTTTTATTTCTCGCCTATGATGGTTGAACAACAAAAAATTTGTATAATTAATTATTTTTAATTTTAAAAGTAATTAATTAAAATCAAGTGTGAGTGTATCTAACCTTTTTAAAAGAATATGCAAATTAAACTAATAATACTCATTTTAGATTCTGTCATTTCAAATTCAAAGAAGTATTTAAAAACCTTTTATTTTTCTTGGAGGGATTTTAAGGTTTTTATCCTTTTTTAAGGATTTTAAATTATTTGTCTAATTTGGAATGAAAATCACTTTACATTTACATTAGAAAGGATAATAAAAAATGTCCCCACGTATGCGCCAGCAATGTCTCCTCCGCTCACCGTCTTCTTCTTCGGCGGTCCAGACGACTGCGCTCTGGCGGGAAAAGAACGTCGGAACATACAATGATAAGGATTTGCTAAATATTTTGAAAAATCTAAACTTCCCTTGGTAGTTTTTCTCGGGAAATTATAACTGAAAAAATCAAGGAAGTGAGAGGGAAGAAGAAAATTCTAGTAGGTGGGGGACGGAATAAGAGAGAAATCTAAAAAATTAGATGAGGAGATAGCGAAGTAATTTGTTATCAGGTGATCTCAGCAAAGGCCTAGAAAACATAGGTTTTAAAAAGGGTTATTAAAAACAAGCTTTTTTAAAATGCCTATTCGACCCAAAATCCCGAAAGTCGAGAGAGGGAGAACAAGCGGGGAGAGGAAGTAGAAGGAGTGGAGAAAGAGTAAAAATAAATTTAATTTTTTTATTCATGAAAATTTAAGAGTTTAATTTTGTAAAATTGAGGTGTAATTTTTCGATCTTATGAAAATTTGAGGGTTTAATTTTTACAATTGAAAGTTGAAATGTGTAATTGTAACATTTCATCCTACTTTATGGTGCGAGGAAGTGAGGTCACCAAGCTAAACTCATGTTAGTTTAAATTATTATATATCATGTGATAAGAAACTATGGAATTTATTTGAAATCCATAAAGATCTGAAATCACTCAGAATTATGAGGTACTAAGGGTGGAAAACGAGCTAAAATGAAAAATCCAATTTGTCTGAACCAAACAGTTTTTTCCCTCCCTCTTCCTCTCTCCCCTATCCTTCTCTCATTAGAAGGGGAAAAAGATCTAAACAAGTTTGACGGCGTGATTTGTGGGCAGCGGCGTGCGGGTGAGGGAGAGACAGAGAGAATAAAGGAGGGTGAGGGGCCGCGTGAGGTTAAAACAAAAAATTAACCCTAACTTATTAAGCAAAAAAGATCAGAACAACGATTTTAAATCGACAAATTCCCTTATTTGAATTTTTTTTTGAGAATTTCCTTATATAAAATTCGAGAAAAGATTTCAAATTCTCTTATTTGAAGTTTGAAAAACAGATTTTATCCTTTTTTTTAAGTAATTATTTATCTTGTTATTTATTTGATTTTATTATTATTTTTATTTCTCGCCAATGATTGGTTTAACAACAAAAAAAAATTGTATAATTAAATTTTTTAATTTTAAAAGTAATTAATTAAAATCAACTGTAAGTGTGTCTAACTTTTTTGAAAATATGTGTACCAATCAATTAATTTCAAATTTAAATAAATATCAGTCCGGCCCCAATTAATTTTAAAATTTCCATTGCTGGCAAAGGATCTAGGTGACAATTTTTTTCATTTTATTTTTTTACCGTGGTAACAAAATAAGAAACAATCAGGATTCGATTAATGCATCAATAAACTCAGATAAATATGCATTCAAATATCTCGCACCATCGAAATTGAGAGCTAAGGAGAGAAATAAAAAATGTTCAGGCATCGAGATTTTGATGGATAATTTCAGTAACAGAGAAGTAATAAGAGGTAAAAGACAAGAAAGGTATGCGTTGAGAGTCTTGAGACTGGGAGAGCTTCTATGAGAAAGGGAAGCTGTAGCTTACATATTAATAAAAAAATATATAATAACCTCTCTTCTAAAAACATAATTTGTGATTCTTTATGACCCTTTTTCACTCTTTTTCACTATCTTTGTAAAGTTACCAAAAAAATATCGTGTTCGTGAAATTATCCACCAATCCCTTGACTCAACCCTTACAATTTTTTTTTATTTGAATCTAATATGTAAAAAAAATCAATATTTTAATTTAGTAATCAAAACTAAATTAGGATGAAAAAATCATTTGGATGATCCAATAATAATTAGATAAGATTTGTTCAGATTTAATTTTTTTAAAAAAAATCAAGATTTCGTAAATTTCGGGACCAGACCGGACCAGTCCAGTTTTTTTTGGTGAAAGATGGCTGGTTGAGATATTTAATTTTTACTATACTAGAATCTAGATACTGTTAGGAATTAATTAGATTCATCATAACAAATGAAATCTTAGATCCATTAGTAGCTGCCCATTTTGCCCTTTCCTATCCTATCCAATAAAAGTTGCATTGCCATATCCCGAATAAAAGCAATGCTACTTGAAAACGAAAACCTCCATTTGGTTCTCCTAGTTTTGTGATCAAGCTCTTCTCCTTTTTCTTCCTACCTTATTCTGAACCAAATCAGTCAGATTGTGATATGTTATTTCTAATTTATGTATCATTGTTTGTAGAATAAAGTATATGGTTGCATGAATTTGTTTTTGTTGCTTGATTGTTATTTTCTTTCTTGGGAGCCCCACGTGAGGTCTCATTCGACCAAAAATTTAACTGATAACGATGAGAAACACAACCGAACAATGTCAAGCGGTTGTCATAGAGGTGCGCGCTAGTTGATATCCGAATACAAACGGATATAAAAAGAAAACGAACAAGCCTTCAACTTGTCAATTATAGTGACGGAAGCATATCATACGATATGGAAGCAGGAAATTTAGCTGGTGTTTGGTTATGGATTGTACTCAGAAAAAAAACCGAAAAAAGACTAGAGAACTTGAATTGTTTGTAGTTTTTATTCCAAATTTGTTATTAATCTTTTACGGTTCAGATTTTTTTCCCCTCTAATCAAGGGAAGGATATAGGAGAGAGGGAGGAAGAGAATTAACCTAGGCGACATTGAATGAACTCGGGCGTGATTTATGGACGAACTCGGGCGGGATTTGGACGAACTCGAGAAAGATTGAACAAAATTCGAGCGAGATTAAACATAATTGGAGCGAGATTGAATTCAGAGTTTCATACAAAATCCTCGAATCAAACCATCAATCGCTAGAAAATCGCTCAACATAAAACTAAATCCTCAGATAAAAAATTTCCCCCAAACTCCCTAGAAAATTGAATTGATCCCGTTAGAAAATCGCTCAACAGAAACTGTCAAACTAAGAAAACTAATACTTTTATTTTATTTTATTTATTTTGTAAAGTGTAGACAAAATATGGCAACTAAATTTGCTACTCGAGAAAACAGAAAGAAAAAGAAAAGTGTGTAAAGATCTTGAGGGGCTTTCTTTGTAATTTCACACTATTTGCAAATAAATAAAAGATATTGACCCAACATAGCAGAAAATGATGCCAGCCAAACATCAAGATTACACGACACTACTGAGCCAGTTCTAGGATATGATAGTGTGCTATCGGCAACATTGATAAGACAAGAAACTAAGTTCAATTTCAAAAAGGGTATGACATTTTAGACACAAAATATTAGCAATAGGCAAACCTTATAGAACTTACCTCTTGACCGAGCTCAAGTCTAATTTTTACAAGCTTATGCCCGGCTTCCTCAATTTTGTTGCACTGGACATAATTGTCAGATAAATTGTCCTTCTTAGATTCACAAGATTGGTCTCTGTTGCATCAATTATTTGCATCTGCTGCTCATTTTCTTCTTCAACTTCATCTTTTAAGTGTCCTTGCCATCGCCATAGTCAACATAATTTTATTTAAAAGCAAAAGCAGAAGACTAATTAACACATATGCTCCACTAAAAACAGAACCACAAGAAGGATGTAGGTCAAAATCAAACCATATATATTAGCAACCTAACAACTCTCGGTGCATAAACATAAACGGAAACACAATATTCCATATTCAATATTTACTTTAATAATAATAAGTGCACATTCCAAGAAGCAAGCAGTATTCGATCAGATAAACATAGCCTCAATCAAATACCTTTCAACTCCCTCTTTTTTTTTTTTTGTTTTGTTTTTTGAGCATGAGAAACTCTAACTTATTAATCAAGAAAGATCAAAACAAAGATTTTAAATTTTGAAATTCGAGAAAAGATTTTAACTCGAGGGAAGGAGTAGGTTTTTTGTTTGTTGTTGTTTTTTTTTTTTTGAGTACCTTTTTATTTCTTTTTAAGTCTTATGCTGCGGGTAGATTTGTTGTTAAGAGTACTTTTTAACCTTATTTTCATTATATATATTTTTACACAATTTCCTTCACCGTGTCTTAATTATAAAAACTGACACTCACATTCTTTGATATTTTTTTTTTTTTTGGAAAGAAAAGGAAAGCAAAACATTACACAAGCTCCTCCAAACATTCCATCTCTAAACAACTCTTCAACTCCAGTGGCCAATCCTCCATCCAGATCGAAAACTCGCGAAGAAGGAGAGCCCGTCGAGCTAACATGTGTGCCGCTTTATTACCCTCCCTCTTCACGAAATTGAAGCTTGCATGTAAGGATTGAGTCCAGAAATTCTTCGCCTTCAAAACGATTTCTCCCGTTTCCGACAGGTCCTCCGAAGGCTGAGAGAAAAGATTGAAAATACGAGATGAATCCGTCTCCAAAATCACTGGGTTGACACCAATTTTCGAAGCCAGTTGAAGACCCTCCACTGCAACAATCGCTTCCGCCATATCCACCGATTGAATATTCTCCAAGTACTTCGTAGCTGAAGCCATAACTTGCCCTCTGTCATTACGGATGATGATTCCCAATCCTGCATGCTGATCTGAAGCTAAAAAAGAGGCATCAGTGTTAATTTTATATATTCTTTTGTCCGGTGGTAGCCATAAAACCTCTGCTGTATTTGTAACTCTCCCAGGAAAAGGATTAGAGTTAGCTTCCCTAAACTCCATAACATATTTATTTGCCCATTCAACAAGCTTCATTCCTGTCTTGTACTGTCATTGAAAGCTCGTGCATTCCTTTGATTCCACAGCCCCCAAATAAGAACACATAATTCCTCAAAATCCGCCCAGCTTAGACTTTCATGCCACTCTCGAAGAATAAGAAATGGATAGTGATAATGCTGAATAGGAGATAGCTTTCCAAATTTCGAATTAATCCACAAAGTTTTAGCAAATTTGCATCTCCAAAACAGATGGATACTGTCTTCACCATTCCTCCCACGAAAATAGCAGCAATTTGTAACCTCCACATCCCTTTTAGATAGGTTACATAGACGCCATAGAAACACTTTTATTTTATTAGGGATGTGCATTTTCCAGAAACCGTTCCACCAACATTGAACCTCCTCAGAAGATGAAGAGGCCTGAACACACAGATTTATTTGATTTAATGAGTAAATGTTATATGTTTTTTTTTTTCAAAAATATAATATTATAAGTTTGTTTGTAAAACAGTTTCTTAAAGTTTCGAATTTATTTAAGTTACAAGTAAACAAAATTGTTTAAAAGAAATGAAAAATAAAAACAAAATATTAAGGACTGGTATCAATTTTCTTTTTAAAATCATATTTCTTAAGCAACGTTTCTTTTAATAAAATTTTTTTAAAAGCATTTTTAAATTTATAATCATATTTAAAAAATAAAAATGTTATTTTTAAAATCATTATTTAACTAAGTTGTTAAAACCATATTTTAAAAAATGATAACCCAAACATAGAAAACATATTCCCAAATAACGTTTATAATCTTAGTTATCAGAAACAAAATCATTACTCTTAAGTCATTAAAATTTATATCATATTTGTAATGAATTAGTTTTAGTTCAATGGGGTTGGTTTTGAACATTTTACCTCAATAGAGACAATAGGATGTCTAAACAATATCATGATGGTACGTATTAATCTCCTTTTCTACATTCTTCCCTTGTTTTTTTGTACGATCAAACAGATGATCTGTAGTACTGAAGCCTAGAAAAACTATTAGATTAAATAATTTCTGCTATGTGCTGCATAAATGAATTTGCAGAAGTTATATCCATTACTACATCATGGTTGCCTTCGCTTTAGTGGCAATTCTTGATCCATTTAGGCTAGTAACTAATGATTATAAGTAGAGTTCAAGGAGGATGTTGGTTTTCCTGGTTGATCGTGACAATTATATGTTTTTGCAGGTTGGCTGCCGTACAGCCATTTCGCTCGCCTATTGTTGTAAGAATTTGGTTATTCTCGACTTGCCTTGGTGTTGAAAGCTGACCAAGTAAGAAACACGGACACACATTTTTGGATGCAGTACCTGTGTCGGACACGATATATACAGACACGTGTCAAACACGCATTTTGGCATGTCTGATTATTTTATTTTTTATTTTTAAATTGGACACGGGCTGGACACGGCGTGGACATGACCTGGCATATTTGTGGGTTTTCTGAGCCCAAAATAAAAAGGCCCAATACCCATTAGTAATTAAAAAAAATGATTAGTAACCTAATACTTACCCACGAACAAAACAAAACACACAAACCCACTCCACGAAGCCGACGCTACTGCACCTAGGGGTGTTCAAAAAACCCGACAACCCGATGAACCCGACCAAAGGTTGGGTTGAAAAATTCTCAACCCGACCGGGTTGGGTCGGGTCT